TGGTGAAAAGAGACATACTATCGACACCTACTGGGCATTACATGGGGTACCAGATTGGGAGAAGGATTGGAGGCGTTTAAAAGAGGAACAACTGGACAGCAAAGCTCATGTGGTTGTTGCCTCCACTTTTGTGGATGACATCACCACTAGGCACGACCATTTTACTGCTACTCTTCTTCCGACTTTGACCACCATCTCAAGCACTCCAACACCTCCGTCTCCAGGTAACTTTGACAAGGCTTTCCATGTCCATGATACCCGAGATACAGGTTGGATTATTGATTCAGGAGCTACTGACCATATGACGTATAATTCTGCTTTATTCTCTACTACTCTTCCACCTCATTGTGATCATGTTATGACTGCTAATAATGCTGCTGCTCCTGTCACGGGGGCTGGTTCTATACTCTTGACACATGCTTTACCATTGGACAAAGTGTTACTAGTTCCATCTTTGTCTAGTAATTTATTATCTGTACCGCAAGTTACTGAGTAGTTAAATTGCGTTGTACTGATGTATCTGTCTTTTGTCTTACTACAAGATATCCAGACTCGAGAGATCTTTGGTTGTGGTACTAAAAGGAGGGGCTTTATTATGTGGATGATGTGGTAACTAGTCGGGTTCTTCATGCTGGTAGCGCCGAAACTTCTCAGCATTGTCGGATTTGGATGCTACATTACCGAATATTTACGGCATTTGTTTCCTGCATTATTTAGTGCTATCAACAAGTCTGATTTCCAATGTCAGACTTGTATTTTAGCTAAGAGTCATCGGGTATCCTATCTTCCAAGTTGTAATAAACGACTTATGCCATTTGATTTAGTTCATTCTGATGTTTGGAGACCTTCTCCAGTTTCTACAGCCTTGGGAGTTGGTTGGTTTGTGTGATTTGTGGATGATTGCACTCGTATGATGTAGTTATATGGGATGAGAAATAAAAGTGATGTGGTCTAAATTTTTTAGCATTTATATCAGATGATTTAGACTCAATTTATGCTCTATATCAAGGTTTTTTGATCTGATAATGGTGGAGAATTTGTTAATTCGGCGTTATCCCATTTTTTTCACACTAAAGGAGTACTCCATGAGACTATTTGCCTTCAAACACAACAGAATGAGGCTGCTGAACGTAAAAATAGGCAGATCCTTACTGCTGCCCGTGCTTTGCTGCTTGGTGCGTCAGTTCCAAAGCGGTTCTGGATGGATGTTGTTACCTATGAAGTCTATCTATTGAATCGTCTAGCGTCACGAGTTTTGGATTTCCAAACTCCCATGCAGGTACTGACCCATCATGTCTCTGCCTCTTCTATATTGACTCTGTCTCCAAAAATGTTTGGTTGTGTCATCTATGTTCACCTCCATCAGAATCAGAGGAGTAAGCTGGACCCATGTGCTCTCCATTGTGTCTTTTTGGGTTTCTCTCCTCATCAGAAAGGTTACCCATGCTATCATCTTGCAACTCAACATCTATATGCCTCTATGAATGTTACCTTTGTTGAGGATGAAATGTTCTTCTCTGATACACCCGAGCATGTCCTTCAGGAGGAGACTAGTAGTGAAGGACATAGCTGGCTAGATTTACAAGGGGGAGTAGTATTGGATAGTTTGATACAAAGGGAAGAACCGACCGAACCTGTTGAACCTACTACACTAGCTGAACCTACTATTTTAAATGATGTCACTATTGTCACTGAATCGATTGCCCCCAATGAAGCTTCTCTAATAGTACCCGATCAAGCTCCCCTGGATATTCCTGAGGTAAGTGCTTCTACTCATACTTCTGATAATTCTTATATTTTACCACCTAGATGGAACCGTGGTGTAACACCCCGACTCCAAATTTATCCCATGTTTTAATTAATTTGAGTGGAATTACGAATTTACCCTCGGGATAGGGGTAATTTGGTTATTTCTTATCTGAAAGGAATTTGGAATTTCGACTATACCTTGCGTAGGGCACGACGAGATGAGTCCGTAGACACGTAGTGGGCTCGAATCGGAGTTGTAACGAGAGAGTTGCGATTGAATGAAACTTAGTGGCACGATCGTAATTATTTGAAAAAAGGGATTTTTGATAAAAACTCAAAAATGCCCTTTGTGTCTCTCTCTCTCTCTCTCTCTCTCTCTCTCTCTCTCTCTCTCTCTCTCTCTCTCTCTCTCTCCTCCGGCGCTCTATCTCTCTCTTCTGTCGCAAAACCCCCCCGGTTATTGTAGCAGCCGTGAGTTCCACCGGCTGCCACTGCCACGTTCGGCCACCAATTGGGCCGGGACCGGTCCCAAAAGGACAGCCAGCTTCTCCTTTTTCCATCCCGTGCCATCCCCGATGCCGGCAGCCACCACGATGGCCTGAAATTGCAGAAAAAACGGCCGGTTTTTACCCATATTTTTCAGAGCTCGTTCCGGTGATTCCGGCTACCAAATCTTGCGATCAAGGTATGGTTTCTCACCTATTTTCCGAGCTCTAGCTGCCTGTTGGGTAGGAATTGATCAATTTGTAGCGTAGGCAACTCGATTTACGAATTGAATTTCAGCTGAATTTCGTGGGGAGATTCCGGCCAGCTTTTGGGGTAGGTCCAAGAACAAAAGTGACTCCAAATAGGGTGTTTCACCTAGGGTAGGAGTCTCGAGCTGTGATTTTGGGTTTTTCAGGCGATGGGTTATCGCTTTGGACACCCACGCGCTACCGGCTAGTGTGGCAGCCCGTGGGCACTGTAGAAAAAGGGCTTTGTGTCCTGATGTGATCTCCTAGTTTTCACAAGCATGTGGGTTCTTTCGGATTCCAATTCGGTTGACGTTTGAACCCCGAACGGATTACGCATATTGTGGGTTATCTGGGTTTGATAGGTTCGGACCGTTGGATTGACCCCAATTTAATATATGTTGATCTAGGTATCCCTAGGATCATGTAGGATTCGACGGATCGAGAAACGGAGTCTAGGATACTCTAGAAATGCCAACCCTAGGTCTAGGGTTTCAGTGACCGTCCGATCGTGCGATCGTGAGCGATCCGACCATCCAATCTGGACCAAACTTGTAGGACATGTGTCCTAGACCTTGTAGAACCTATAGGAACTTTCAGATCGGAATTTGAAGGCCGTGGGCCCCACCGGGCCTGTTTGCCCAAAGTTGGGTAGTTTGACCCTGGGTTGACCGTGAGACTTCCTAGGTAGTTCTACCTTCCCAGGAAGATTAAAATGACCGTAGTGACAGGTCTTGATATTATGGGGGTTATGGGGGATTATTGGATGCTAGTTGTTTGTTAATGTGTTTATATTATTAGAAATTAATGTGTAAAATTATGTGTGTATACAAAGGTATAAAAGAGCATAGAATGTCAGTTTATAGTGCTATATGCACTACCCTATGTAACCCCTGTGATTGTGTGAGGTCACACGTGTCTTAGGAGTAGCCGGCGTGTTGACAGACCCCATATGTGGCCGGGTGCGTCCCGACGTATGAGGGGTGATATGTGATTGTGTTGAGGTCGCACGTGTCGTGGTTGACAGACCCCATATGTGGCTGGGTGCGTCCTGACGTATGGGGGGAGACATGTGATATTGTGTTGAGGTCGCACGTGTCGTAGGAGTAGCCGACGTGTTGGCATACCCTATACGTGGCCGAGTGCGTCCCAACATATGAGGGGAGATATGTGATATTGTGATGAGATCACACGTGTCGTAGGAGTAGCCGGCGTGTTGACAGACCTCATACGTGGCCGGGTGCGTCCCAATGTATGAGGGGAGATTGATATTGTGTTGAGGTCGCACGTGTCGTAGGAGTAGCCGATGTGTTGACAGACCCCATACGTGGCCGGGTGCGTTCCGATGTATGAGGGGAGATATGTGATATGATGATGAGGTCCCACGTATCGTAGGTTTATCCGGCGTGCAGACAGGTCCCATGCGTGACTTTGGATGTTCCAGCGTATGGGGAGGTTTTGGTGAGTTGTGACTTAAAGAAAAAGGGTTTTAGAGAAAGAACTACGTGTGGCTTGATCCCTCATAAAGAGTACGTAGGCAGCCTGAAGTTTCTAGGTGCAACCGCGAATTAGACTCCACTTAGGTTGGTGTATTGAGTATGATGCAGACCTCGTCGTTGGTCCTACTATGTGAGTGAGAACGAGATGCGTTTGCGTTAGGAGGTTGGAGCCTCGTATGCTAAATGGTTGGGAAAGTAAATAATTATATTATTTGGCTTAAGGAATGTGTTGGTAGTTTGTTTGGAAGTATTTGAAGGCCGGAAGCCAATTAGACAAATTGCATGTTGTTATCTTTTGCATACTGCCCGTTGGGATATTAAAATGTGTTTTATACAGGTGGAAATTTTGGGGAATGTTTAATTTACAGGGGAGACTTTGACGAAATTTCGGCAGAAAGTCTCGTGCCCCTACTTCTTTTTGAAGGAGGTTACCGTCTAGTGAGTGGGCCCGACATCGGAGTGATATCTGGATTTCCACAGGATTCGTCTCGGGTTCTGGGAAATTCGGGGTGGGTCCTGTCATGTGGGATTCCACCTGATCATCAATCACCAAAAGGCAAAGCGAGATATGCTATTGCCCATTACGTGTCTGATCACAGGTTATCTCTTGAGTGAAAAGCGTTTGTGACCAGAATGGATAATATTAAAATTCCAACCTGTGTTGAGGAGACATTTAATGATCCAAAGTGGGCTGAAGCCATGAATATTGAAATGGAGGCATTGCAAAAAAATAATACAGGGACATTGTTGATTTACCAAAGGGAATGAAGCCTATAGGATGCAGATGGGTGTTTACAGTTAAATATAATATAGATGGTACTGTGGAGAGTACAAGGCAAGAATAGTAGCTAAAGGGTTCACTCAGACATATGGAGTTAATTATCATGATACTTTTGCACCTGTGACTAAGATGAATACTGTCAGAGTTTTGTTGTCCTTAGCAGTAAACTTGGATTGGACCCTAAGGCAATTTGACGTAAAAAATGCATTCTTACATGGTGAACTAGAAGAATAAGTGTACATGAGTCTTCCACCAGGGTATAGGGTTACCGGTGAAACGAGGAACGTGTGCAAATTGAAAAAGGCGTTGTACGGGTTAAAGCAGTCTCCTCGGGCATGGTTTGGTAGATTTACCACAGCTATGAAGAAGTTTGGTTACCAACAGGCTAATACTGATCATACTATATTCATTAAATATGGGGCTGGTAAGGTGACTTTATTGATTATTTATGTTGATGATACTGTAGAAATCGAGGAATTGCAGAAACGTTTAGCATTTGAATTTGAGATGAAAGATTTCGACAGTCTGAAATATTTTCTAGGAGTGGAAGTCACTCGATCTAAACATGGCTTATTTCTTTCACAAAGGAAGTATGTCATGTACCTGCTAGCAGATATCGGAATGCTTGACTGTAAACCAGCTGATACACTTATTGTTGAGAATCATAAACTTTGTGTTTATGTGGATCAGGTCCCAACTAACAGAGAAAGATATCAAAGGTTAGTTGGGAGATTGATTTATTTATCATTGACACGCACTGATATTGCTTATGCTGTAAGTGTTGCTAGCCAATTTATGCATTCACCTAGTGAGGATCATATGGCTGCTGTGATGCGTATTTTGAGTTATTTAAAGTCTGCTTCTGGGAGAGGTTTATTATTTAAGAAAAAGGGTCACTTGGATATGAAAGGTTACAATGACGTAGATTATGCCGGGAATATTACAGATATATGTTCTACATCAGGTTACTTCACCTTTGTTGGTGGTAACTTAGTTACGTGGCGTAGCAAGAAACAAAACGTTGTGTCTCGGTCCTCCGCAAAGTCTGAGTATAGAGGGATTGCCCAAGGGGTTTTGTAAAATATGTGGTTGAGGTGGTTACTTGCTGAAATTAGGTTTAGATAGAATGCTACTACAAAACTCCATTGTGATAATTAGTCTGCATTTGAAATTGCTAACAATCCAGTGCAACATGATCGAACTAAGCATGTAGAAGTTGATGGGCATTTCATTAAGGAGAAGTTGAAGCATAAGTTAATTTCTATACCTTTTGTGCCTTCTTCAGAGCAGCTTGCAGATATGTTGACCCATGCTGTGTCAAAGCGCCTATTTGTAGACTCACTTAACAAGTTGAGCATTACCGATATCTATGCACTAACTTGAGGGGGAGTGTTGGCGTGAGTCAACGTTCCTATTAGGAATATAATTTCTGTTTTATTGTAATTATATAATTTGAGTAGAATTACGAGATTTTGTACATATTTCCTATTTGTAACCACTCTGTATGTAGTATATATATTCCTCCTTGAGAGAAGAATAAACATATCAGTTTTAAACCCTAATTATTTTGAGTGTTTTGAGGAGTGATTAAAGTTGAGTGAAGTTCTTCATTTAATTCACCCAAGAGGAGATTTGCTACCACAATTACCTTCTCCAAGAATTGGAGGTTGGTTTATATAGAACTCTGTAGTGAATGTTTTACCGCCTTGAGTAGTTAAGTGTTGAATGATCATTGGGGTACTAAGACCCCTTAACTCCTAAATGGATGAGCGTAATCTCCTTTTTATTGCTCCTGTAATAAATAAAGAGATTTCGAGAATTTAGGCTAATTTATCGGAGACGTGCTCCTTAAGGAAGAGTATTGCTAGGCTTATCCCTTAGAGCGCCCATTGAATGGTTGCCAAAGGCTTGCAAGGCACTTAGGCACTGTCGATTGATTCCTCTGAGTCTTTGGTTAGACGCCTTGTTGGCCTTCTTCTGTTATGTGGACTTAGGTGTGGCCAATATTTCTTAGTACCCTCGCAGAGGAGCTATTGCTGCCAGCTACAAGCATGATGCTTAGTGCTCATAATTAACGCATGACAAGATGCGTTACTTTCTCCCGCCCCTAGCCAGTAGTAATTTGGTCCCTTACGTCTTGTGATCGATGTGTTATTAAGGCGTAGATATTTTCTCCAACAATAATAAAATAAAATCAATCCACAATGAAACAAAAGCCCATAACCATTTCTCATAACTTCTCATATTTCGTTATATCCATGGATCTAACCTAATTGCTCTCACCTCGCGTCAAAATCCATAGATCAAGCTTCAATCATATTGCTCACAAGGCAGCAATAATAACTTTTAAAGTTAGTTATACGCTCACTCTGTCTCTGTCTAGACTCTCTCTGTCTCTGTTTCTTTCTCACTCTCTGTCACACAAATTTCAAGGGAGAAAATTCTTAAAGCATAACTTATTTGATTTAGAAAACCCCAGAAAGGGTCATTGCATGAAGTCAATCATAGAATCAAATTTCAAAGGGATTTTCAAAGAAAAATAGAGATCCCCAAGAAGGGAAAGCAGTGCAACTTTTCTGATTAAGCAAACAATGGCAAAGAAGAAAGCCATAAAAAATTCAACATAACAACATAACATTGGCAGAGGCATGAAGGAAAGAAAAGAAAGGGAAAAGTGGCAATTGTGGGAGTGGCTAGGTATGACAAGAGGGCTACCATACTTTGAGGTGGAAAAGAGCTTTTAGATATCCATGGCAGCAAGGTCTCGCCCAATGCCTTTAGTTGCATAGCTATAGCCCACAGTAGCAGCAAGGTTGTGGCTCGAACCGCCCACAATTTCAGCCGCGCCAGTCGTGTCCTAGAAATCACCAAACCCTTTAGCTTCTCGTCTTAAATGCTCCAATTCATAAAAGTCTTTAACTTTTCAACTTTGATCCCTTCAGCAATCAAACTCTTAAACACTTCAACTTTGATACCTAAGATCATTACTGTTGAACGACTTCTCCTTCTTTAACTCTCGTTGCTGGGCTTGCTATGTGGTTACAGTCGAGGGAGAGGGAAAGGGATAGGAGAAAAAAGCAACGAGCTGGGTTAGGAGGGAGGGAGGGTGGGATGGTGATGCCGCTGTTGCTACTGATGAGAAGATTGTGGCTGTTGTTGGAGTTGGGGGCGGTTGTGGCTGCGGCTACGGCTGGAATGGGTGGCGGTGGGTATAGAGGTCAGTAGTGGTTGGTGCGGCTAGGGAAAGTGGAAGCAGGGTAGGGTTTGTTTTTATTTTATTTTATTCAATTTTACGTCTTTTTTGTTAGGTTGTATAATTAATTTCTAAAATTTTAAATTATTTTTTAAGTAAAAAAAAAAACCTAAGTTGTTGGGACCTATGGTGGTCACGATAGCAGTTAACGATTGACCACATGATCAACTTAAGCTTCGTTTGGTTCACAGAATGGATTTAAGGGGAAATCACTTCTCATGTCATTTATCAAGGAATGGGAATGAAAGATTCATTTCCCACTTTTGGTAATGTCGGAAAAGTAATTGGGAGATTTTACTTTGTTTCCTTTACCATGTTTGTTTTAAGTAGGAATAGAAAACAAAGTTTGTATAATTTTTCAATTATACCCATATTAAATCAAATAAAAAAAGAATGCATTTAATGATACGTTGTAATTATAAATTGTTCATAGGGACAAAATAGTCATGAAAATTGTGCATTGAATGTTAGCTCATTTTCCCAAATTTTCGTATGAGGAGGGAAAACAAAACCCAAGTTAAGAGGAGGGCTTCACTTTCCCCATACTTTCTCATGTGCCAGGTAATCATTTCCCATGTCTGGACTTACTAAATATGAGAAAATAATTGAATTCTCATTCCCAAGCCTCCTTTCCCATTAACTAAACGGGATGGAAGGATAAAATTGGACAAGTTTAAAAACATTGAGCTGTAAATTGATGAAATTAATACCCCTGGCCTATATTGAGAATAATCCCAAACCTAATTATTCTAGACTTCCCCTACCCCTTACCAACGCCAATTGTTGCCCACCCTATGCATGTACACCATATTCCATTTTTCTCTTTGTATCTTGGCGTGAGTTGTCTCTTAGGTTTGTTTGGTATTCAACTTGAATTTAACTTTTTAAACTCAAAAATAGAATTTGAGTCCAAAATAAAGAAAACCTGTTTGGTAGCCCTATTTTTAAAACTCAAACTCAAGAACAACTAAAAAACACCCCAATCATTAAAAACAAAAAAGATCTATTTTTTAGTTTTTTTTTTTTTTTTCTAACATCCCACAAGTTCTCAAATTTTTAAGATTTGAAAACAGTTTTCAAGTTGCATACCAAACAAGTTTTTGAATCTTAAAAATAAATTTAAGAACTCCTTGTTTTTAAGAAAAATCAAAATTCTTGAATTCCCTATTTGAATAGGTTACCAAATGCCTTAATTGCCTCAATTTTTTAGGGTTTGGATCATATAAAGTAGCTTAATGGTTGCAATGTTTTGGGCAGTATATATACATGTATTTTATTCATTTCCCTAATATCTTGCGCTTCTGCATGCGCATACAAACTTGTGTTACACCCAGACTCTCAATTCATAGTAAGCTCACCTATTTAAGGAAATGAAGCCAAATGCTATGTTTTTATTCCTCTGTCAACAACATGCTTCATGACATATAATTTGGTTGAAATAAACCTTTAGACATGATTGATGACATTTTCATAACCGTACGATATTGAGAATTTTGAGTGGCACAATGTTCATATTTATGTGGAAATTCAATACTCGTTTGTACACGTGTTTCTTGCATTGTATGTATGTGAGCTTAGGGGTGTATTTAATCCATACTTCTATAAAATTTTAAATACTTCTGCCATTTGTGTTGCATCGTCTAAAATGTCATGAATATCTCCTTTCAATAATGTCTTTGTGTGTTTTCTCTAACCAAAAAAAAAAAAAGTCTTTGTGTGTTATTTTATATTCTCCTCTTTTGCTTTGAAGTATTTTTCTTATCTACATATTAGAGTTTCATAAACAAATACCTTAAAAAAAAAGAAATTATTACAATTTAAGTATGTTCCCTTCCCTTGCAGTCCCGTTGACCTGGTCAGCAAGGTCCCCGGGCACTTGCCATGAGATGAGCTCTAACGGCAAACACTGCCCATGGCCTGAATAAATATATATTTAAACACTGCTCAAATATGCTGCCCCCAATTCAAATACAGAAAATAAATTAATGCCTGACCCCACCAACCCTCACTCTCACATCGGCCCCTTTCACTCTCTAGAAAGAACTTGGCCTCTGACCCAAAAAAAGAAAAAGAAAAAAAAGAAAAAAAAAAAAAGAACTTGGCCTTTGTCCTGCATTGGAGCAAAACCTCCTGATAAATTATAGGTGTCTAACTTCCTTACTTAGTCTTCCTTTTATCACTTCCCTTGAAGAGTTGATGAGAATCTGAAGTCCATATGGTTTTACTCTTTCTACAGACAACAATTTCTTATAGAAGTCTCAGTTGGGAATGGATGGAGTCTCAGTTTCTAGGATAATTATGAGATATTTTCATATTCAAAAATTTTATTCACAGATGCATACATGTATATATACATACATATGCTGACGTGAGCATTCAAACATACACACATAAGCTGATGTGAGCATTCAAAATCATTAGAAAATGAGTACTCAGGTCAACCTCTTTTCAAACTACAAAGAAAACCAACACCACTTGAAACTACAAAGAAGTCAAAACCAACATAGATTTTTAGACACTGACGTGAGTAATAATCATGCTACACATGATTATTATTCAAGTGTTGACATTCGATTTCCTTTTCGTCCAGAGTTGCATCAATTCCTCCACCACCCCATCAATCTCTGCATCCTCATTTTTTTTTATGCTGTCTCTTATTTCCAATGCCTTTTGCCTCACTCCCTCTCCAATTTTTTCCACAACCACATCTCTGATCACCTTTGCTACCTCTTCTCTTTGCAGGCTGCCTTCTGCGGTTCTCTTAACCTCCACACCAACACCCACCTCCTCTACTAATCTAGAGTTAATCGGCTGGTCAAGATGCATA